GAGAGAGAGAGAGAGGCCTTTTGAGGAGTCTGCTTCCCAGGGTGCCACTGCCCCCTGCTGCCACCTTCTGGTTCAGGGGCCCCACCCCTGTCACTGGACCCTGAATGTCCTTTGCTGGTTTATAGGACCCACAGGAAGCTGAGGACAGAGAGACAGAAAGAGAGGAAACATGTCTATGTGACAAAAAGAGAAAGCAGACACTGGTAATGAAGCTGGGCCCAGAGACACACCGCTTGACTCCTTAAGTGTGGGGGCAGCAGGGCTCTGTTTCTGTCACTTCTCCAGCCCTGCGGCCTTCCTGCTCTGTCTGTCAGCTCATTCTACAATGTGCCTTCTGTGCCCCAGGCTCAGGGGTGAATGAAACGCACACAGTCCCTGCTCTCAGGAAGCTTAGTCTCATGGAGGTTCAATAAAGGTTAATTATGCAAACAAATGTATTGAATGAATCTGTAGTAAATGCTTTGAAGAAAAAGTAGAGGGTGTTGAGATGAAGGTAAAGGGGTACAGAAAGTTCTCTGAGGAAGTTAGTTCTTACAAGCCAGACTTGAAGAATGAGGGGGAGTGAGTGAGGCAAAAGGAGGTTGGATGAGGGAGAAGCATCTAGGCGGAAGCGACAGCATGTGCAGAGAGCCCAAGGAAGGACAAGGTGAGTTAAGTATTGTTGGTGGACAGAGGTGTGGCTGCTCCCCCATATACCTAAGGAGTCAGGCAAAGTGTATCTCTGCGTCCAGTGTATGTTGCTGCCAGAATCTTCATTGTCGTCTCTTTGAGAACCCCTTTCCTTAAAAATTTGTAATGGTTTCTCCATCCATCAAACTTCACTTTGAGCTTCAAAGGGCTCCATCCAGACTGCCCCCAGATTACCTCAACCCTTCACACACTCCTCTTGGGTTTTGTGAAAAAAAAAAAAAAAAAAAAAAAAAAAAAAACAAAAAACAAAAAAAAAACACATTTGTCGAAAGACTAAAGCAAATAGTTTTGACGTGTGGTTCTGTACCATAAGGGAGGCTATAATGAAGTCAGTCCTGGTTTACATGACTCCAAATGGTTCCATTTAAATGTCCCACCCTGTATTTACGTGTCCCTACCACTTAAGCTGGCTGTTTATCTTCCAGCATACTCTACTCTACTTGCAGTCTTGGCTTCTATTTAACTTCATTTCTTACTTTTTCCATTCCATGGCCTATCATTTACATTTTTCTTGAGGAAATGTAAATATTTATTTATAGTATTAGCTTTTACTCTTGCTTAGCTCTATATATTATGGAGTAAACACATTGAGATACGGTTCTAGGACTGAATTTTCCATAAACTGGTGGTGACCTTAACCAAGTCATTTAACCTCACCAAGTCTTAGATGCTTTTCGTAGAGGAGGTATTTTTGTTTTTCTTTTGTTTTGTTTTAGCTAGAAGATCCAAATTCAGGATTCTCGTTAAAGTCTATGGTTCAGTACCTCTTACAGTCACCTGGGAGTATTTCTCTCACATCTTTGTCGTTCTCCACTGCCTCTTTCAGAATGTCTTTGTGGCTAGGACTGACTTTCTGTATAACTCATTTTTGTGGGGTAGTGCACCCAAGATAGTATTTAACAGATGAGACTGGAACATACTATTGGGTTTGGGTTAAAGCTCACATCTATGGGGGAGTGGTTGAGAAGTAGGAAAATTCTAGTTGCAGGCCTGAAATTCCCTTAGAGTGTTTCTCAAACTGGGGTGTATATACCCACAGGAGTAGACAGAGGTGTGCCAGTGAGTCCAGGAAGCCCTTCCCTTGGAACAAAATTTCTACTTAAAGATTTGAGGAGAGCAAATAGACTATTTTGAGTTTAAAACAAACATGGATATAATGAATAGAAGATAAAAGGCATCTTAGTATAAAAGGGAATCCGTGGGGTGGATAGCTTTGGGCACACTGCTATTGAGAGAAAATGGGACTTTTATTTCTGCCCTTGGGTTGTTTGAGAAATATTTGCCTTTGGGTCTTTTGAGATATGTGTGTTTTGTTTTTGTTTATTTATGCATACAAGATTTATTATTTATGCATACAAGAGCTGAGGTGTAGACCAGAGGTGTCGGGGCAGGGGGTGGTGAGGGTGGTGAGAGGATTCATCAGAGACAGAGTAAAGGAACAGAACAGGCAGATTGACTGAAATATACACTGCTAAGGGGAGCAACAGTTGAGACAGGAGAGGTCTGCTGTGCCATGTGGGTCAGCAGACTGGCCGGGGATTGAACTCGAGCTTCAGCAGCTGCTGATAGCTTCATAGTGCTGAGCCTTAACCCCTCGAGCCACCAGGGAAGCCCCCAGATATGTGTGTTTTAACAAACAAAGGTGTTATGTTACTCAGGAGGGGCGTTCAGGCTAAATAATGGACATATGTGGAAAATCCAATTGTACCCATTAGGAGAGTTTAAAAAGGGTCCTGAGGTCGAAGGGGATGCAGGCTGAACAAGAGACCTATTTCCGAAGACCAGATCAGTTACATAATCTTGCTTAGGAATCTGGTTGAGGCTGGGTTTGAATTGATCCAAACATCTGGAAGTTCTCTCACCCTTTCTCAGATTCCCTGGAGTACATTTTGTGTGTACCCTCAATTCTGGTACTTAGCAAACCATTAAAAGGTAGTTATATTTTCTTGTTTATACAGTTTCTCAGTCAGACTCAAGGAGGTGGCATGAATAAAGAAAAAGTATTTGGTGGCAGGTACCCCTTGGTGGTGATACCTGATGGAGAGAATCCTAATGTTACCACAACTAAAGAATAAACTATTATTTTTTAAAAAAGTCAACCTTGCTGGGGCCTCCCCGGTGGCGCAGCGGTTGAGCGCTGGGTTGCGACGCTGCCTGCAGCCTCTGCAGCGCCGGTTCGATCCCCGGCTGCTCCCCGGCCACCGGAGGAGGGTCCCACATGGCGCGCAGACCTCTCCTGCCGCCCGCTGCTCCTCAGCAGTGTACTTCGGTCCTTCTGCCTGCTCTGCTCCCCGCTCTGTCTCTGGTGAATTCTCTCACCCTCCCACACTTCTGACTGTACCCAGTGCTTGTATAAATAAATAAATAAATTAAAAAAAAATAAATAAAATAAAATTTAAAAAAAAAAAAAAGTCAACCTTGCTTGCCAAGTGATTTCTGACAACTCCCTGAAATCTCTCTGATCCTCACTTGCTATTCTATGAAATGACCCAATATCACCCCTGCCTTGCCTACTGAATAGGAAGGATTGTATGCAGAGCCTATGGATGCAATGTAAAAGCATTTTGCAAATCATTAAACAAAAGTTAGAGATTGTTAACTAAGAACCCAAGGGAAAGGAGGTCATATCTTTCTCATCTTTCTGCTACCCTCAAGCTTAACTTTTACCTTGTTGGTTCTGGTAACTGTTAATGATAAAGATCGTGAAATGCTGTCCGTGGACTGACCCTGGGAAAATTAATTCTGCCTTCTCTCCTGCCCCCATTCTTTCCTCTCCTTCTGACGTCAGTCCCCTCTACCTCCACCAGGTGCTTCCACAAAGCTATTTCTTCCCTACTGCACCTTCCAGAGAATTTGGGTAAAGAACACTTTAAAGAGTTCTTTTACAAAAGAAGGAGACTGTTTGATGTATACGAATGAAAGGCTAGAGTAATTTCAGGCTTCAGCAGAGAGAGTTTTATGGCAATCTTTTTTTGTGCAGTGGTGGGGTGGGGAATGAACTGGTGTCATTCTGGAAAATTTCTCCCAGGAATAAAAATGCCCAAATAGAAGACTGGAATTCTTTAAAAAGAGAAATCAACAGCCCACCTATGTAATAATGAAGAATCATATTTTCATTGGCCTCTTTGCTGATGTCACCATACAACTTCCACTAGATTTGGAGTGAAGCCCACCTCCATTGCAGTTGACATCCCTGAGGGAAATAGCAGGAAAGCGTGAGGAGGAGGAAAAAGTAGGTTTAGTATGTGCTGGTTTGAAATACTATCTGGCTAAACAGTAACTTTACTAGGCCGTTCCCCTCATATCTGCTTGGGCCACAGAGTGGAATGGACTTTCTTAAGCAGAAATGTTCTTGGGTCTCTTCGTAATTTTCCCCTTGAAAATGTGCGAGTTGTGCAAGAAAAATCCACATTCTACACTAACAAGGCAAGGCTTATGAGAACTTGGTTTCTTATAGGCAATACTTTTGTTTTCTTTATTTTTAAGTAAGTTTTTGTGGTAAGAGATCAAGTCAGAGTAATAGAGAGGAATGGGAGAACATGGAGAGAAAAGGGAAAACTTCACTTTTTCTCCCCAAATGCAGAAATTGGAAGGGAGTGGGGTCACTCCAGGAGCAACAAAGCAGAATATCCCCCTTACCCCCCACCCCCCTCACCCCCCTCACCCCCGCAATCAAGAAAGGTCCATGGCAGGGGCCAGGAGCATGGGTCACAGGGGAGCCGCAGGCCAGGAATTCTGTGAGAAGAGCCTCATGGCTTCCCAATTCCCTTGGGCCTGGCAAGGGTTCTCAGTTCGCACACCTTGCCGCCGGGAGAACTGTCCTCCCGCCACTTTCTCTCACCAAGTTCCCAGGAAGCGCTCAAGTAACCACGCTCCGGGGCGTGGGTCTGTGTTTCGGCTGTCTGGACAGCCCAAGAGAAACAAAACCCTGGGCTCCTTCCCTTCCTAAGTAGTTCCAGGTGAGCTTTTTCTTTGGGGTCTGGGGCGGGGCGGTGGTAGAGGAGATAATAAAGGAGGACCGGGTGCCAACAACCACATAACCCGAGGCCTGAGGGGCTTCGTGCCCACGACGCCTGAGGCACGAGCCCGCGGCTTCCGCGCGCGGGCCACTGCCCGGCTGGGCCGCTCGAGACGCGGCCCGTTGCCCTGGAGACCCCAGGCGGTTTGTTCCCCAACCCGGACTCTCCCACCCCGCGCCCCGGCGCGGCGGGCGGGGGGCGCGCGGGAGGGGCCCGTGGCCTCAGCGTCGCCGCCCGGCCGCGCTCCCCCGGCCTCCCCCGCCGCGCCGCGGTGGTACGGCCTGCGCCCTGAGGCCGCGCGCTGCCGGGACCCCTCCAGAAAGGGCGGCCCGTCGCGGGGAGGCCTAGGTGAGGCGGGTAACCGCGGAGCCCGCGGCCTGGACGGACATTTAGGGCGAGGAGGCGGAGGACGCCTGCCTGGCGGCGCGGCCCCTCCCGGGTTTCTCCTGTCTGATTCCGCGTCCCCGCTCCTTGCCCTGCCTGCCCCCCCCGACCCCGAGGCTGCCCGCTTCCTTCTTGTTTTGCTGGGGACCCAGACCCCGGGCCTCTGCTATTGGAGGCCCCTTTTTCCTGAAGCCAATGGCGCGCCATTTCCCCCCAACCTAGGTTCCATCAGCAAAATGCCAGACGTCAAGGAGAAAGCGCCCCAGAAGGAGCCTGGCGGCGCGGGGAGTGTGTTCTGCACGCCTGCAACATCGGAACAGACCCAGCAAGACAAGAGCGGCCCCGAGGACCACCCTGCCCGTAGGTCCACTGCCGGCCACGCCCCCAGCCGCACCCTGGGGTGCTCAGTGTGGGTCAGGCTGGAGGGAATGGGCTGCCCTTGGCTTCGGCGCCATTAGGGGGCCGCAGCCCCGCGGTTGTCTCTCTTCACCCACCCAATATCTCTTCCTCTTTGGCTTGCCTTTCTCTACCTACCCTCACCCGGATCTCTGCTTACAGGCCCTAGGTCCCTTATTGACCCCTTAGGTCTTCAAGAGCTTTTGGTTCCGAGGGAAGAAGTGACCCATATGTGATTACTTGAAACCTGATAAGATTTGATACTGAGTCAGTTCAAGGTCATCTTTGTAGCCTTGTATTTTGAATGTGTAGGCGGAAAATGGCAAATACCTGGAGTAGGTTTTATTTTTTTTTAAGATTTATTTATTTATGCATACAAGAGCTGGGGTACAGGCCAGAGATGCCAGGGGTGAGAGGATCCACCAGAGACAGAGTGGGGAACAGAACAGGCAGACTGACCAAAATACACTGCTGAGAAGAACAGTGGGCGAGACAGGAGAGGTCTGCCGCTCCATGTGGGTTTCTCTCTGCCCAGCAGGGGATAGATCATGCAGCAGAGGCTGTGGATTGCTTCATAGTGCAGTGCTTAACCCCTTGCACCACCAGGGAGGCCCTGGAGTAAGTTTTAAAACACCTCAAGGATCCCAGATAGGAATTGTGTTCTCTCACTGCTTCCTTAATGCAAGGAATATCACTGCCCCGGCTCACATTTAGCTTTACGCTGTAGTGAATGCTCGCTCGTCTGTTTTCCTCTTGGTGCACTGGGGCTCTTCCACACTCGGTAGGTTTAATCTCACCGGAACTCATCCTGCATTCCTATTCTATAGTAAATCTCCTGAGAATTTAGTCAATTGTCAACCTGATGACATGCAACAACCTTAGTTAAATTCTTGAAGATCAAGTGGAAAAAATTAGTTCAAGGCCCTGCTGCTAAGTTGGATTACATTTGTTTTTCTTGTAGCCACGCGGGGTCGCTGCTGGTTAACAGAATGGCACCAAAGGGGTAAAGTGGGTGTTTTGGAATACTCAGTGAATAAGAACCTGATGCCGGGTAAAAGTTTTTAAAATATAGTTTAAACAATTTAAGTTTTTTGAAGTGACTTTTAAAGTTATTCCAAAGGCAAAACATCTCAGCAAAGTGAACTTATGTTCTTCCTTATGTTCTTCCAAAGTTCTTCCAAGAACTTATGTTCTTCCAAATATGTTCTTCCTTAAAAAATATTTCTTTGGTAAGGTGTTCTTGGTTAAATGACTACACTATCTTGAAAATTTGTCTTTGGGATTTGGATTTTAAAAATCTAATGTAGGTCCATTATCTCTAATTTCTATTTGAGCCCCTCCCTTTCCTGATTTTTACAGCTGTTGGAGTTGCATAGTGCTGTGCTACTTTTAAGAAACAGAACAATCTTGTCTAAGCAGGTTATGAGCTTTTATTTGTCTTAGTTGAAATGTGCTTTTGTGTATAATATTTCCCTCAGACCTTCAATAAGCTGGGATGGCTGAATCTCACTTTGAAGATTTTCTTTTCTCATTTCACATTAGTGAATTAGAGGGAAAGTCTATTTTCATTTTTGACTATTTTTACTTTCTGGCTGGAACTAAAGATTAGAGAAGTTGCAAAAATAAAGGAAACTTCAACTGCTTAAAGTTCAGTTCACCTTAGGTTTTTTTCGAGCAAGTGGCTATGGTAAATCCTACCATTACTGTTTTTTTCCCCTTAACTTTTTACTCTGAAATATTTAAAATCTGTTGAAAAGTGTAAAAATAGTACCCCATAGTATGCGGAGGCAGAAGGCCCTGGCCCACTGGCGACAAGTCTTTGGTGCCAGGCTGATGGTTCTATCCTCAGCACCAAGACAAGGTAATAGAAAGAAAAAAACAGTGAAAAAAAATACAGTGCATACCCATGTTTTTAACATTCAGCCATGTTGCTTTCTTTCTCTTGCTTTTCTTCTCTCACTGAAAGTTAGGTTATTTTAAGTACTTTGCTTTTCTTCTTTAATACATAGGAGAATGAACAAAGGCATTCACCTATGTATTAATTTCCCAGTCCCTAGTTAAATTTTCTACAAACATTTTATTTTTCTTTATTAGATTTTTAAATCTTCCTGTTTTAACATTTACCAAAGAGATTGGGATAATGAACCCCTTTTTTACTCATCACCCAGTTTTCACCAAGATATATTTAGGGCTAATCTTAATTCTTTTATCTCCTCCACATTTTGGAGACAAATACTTTTCTGTGAACTAATTATGAAGTTTCATTGAAAGAGAAGTGAGAACGTTGTTTATTGTGAGCAGAGCCACACTTTAAATACTAAGTGACCATTATAACTACCGTATGTGCTACTATGGCAGAACACTAGGCGCTAGGCCTGTACTAGGAACAGTACTTCCCAATTGTGAGTGCTGGCCTATGACAAAATTCTTAACAATATTTAATGAAATTATAAAGACAGTGTGATGAATTTTTCCTAAAGCAAAATGGATTCTATTTGAAGGACTATTTATTGTGACAGTATTCCCTTTCTGCTTTTTTCTGGAGGTTAGACTCTCTTTTATGAAGTAATGGTTTTGGTGCTGATGGAATGGATTTTTTTTTTTTATTTGCTTGTTTCACTGTCCACACTAAACAAAACAATAACAAATTGTTAACATCTTTTGGGGAATTTTATTAGTCTGTGAAATCCTAAAATTTGGAAACCAGTGCTTTAGAAAACCAAATTATCTTGGTACCATGTAGTACCATCTGTATGGAGAAATCAACTTTCATCAGAGGCAGGAAGAGAGTGGAATCATCATTTCCTTATATAAACATAAACATTTATTTTTACAAGTCACAAGTTATTGTTTCTTTGCTGCTTTATTATTTTACTTTTTGATAGGTTTTGATTCAGTTTTACCTTTTTTTTTTCTTCAATAAACTAACTTCTTTGCCCTCCTTTGCCCCCCATGCTGGACTACTCTTTCAGCCCCTATCATGGGCCTAAAGTTCATAAATGAGTACAGTGGTTGAATGAGTTTGTGTAAAATCAGTGTGATGAATCTAAATTTGGGCACAGTTCATGGTAATAGAAGTTCAGACTCGTGTGGGTTCACTGTTGTCCATCGTAAGTTTTTTCTGCCACAGGTTTGAAAGGCCTGGTTAACAATTCCAAGCTAAGCAATGAGATTGGAATGAATCACGATTTCCACCTGGAAGAGAAGGTTTTACCTCAGAGCAGGTACCAGCACTTCTAATTTCCCATTTTATTCGTCCTAGCATAGGCATTTAGCACTGATGGCTTCTGACCAAACTTTATGCATTCTTATTTAACAATATAAATCACTGTTTCAATATAAGCCTGAAGATGTTTCAACAACTTAGAGGGAAGAATAATAAATTATAATAGTATCAGAGGATAAAGAAGCAAATGTTATTTTATCAGCAAATAAATCAAAGCAATTTTTGTTGGAATGTTCACCTTGAGGCCCCGGTTAATAATAAAATGAATAAAGGGTGGATTTCAGATCTTTTCTGACAGATACGGAAGAAATAGCCTGTAGCAGCTAACTATTGCTACATAATAAATTACCCCCAAACTTAGCAGCTAAAACAATATTCATTATTTTAAAGTGTCTGTGAATCAGAAATACGGGCCTGGTTTAACTGTGTGCCTCTGGCTCAGGATGCTCGTGAGGTTGCTGTCTCTACACTACTGGCCAGAGCTTCCCTTTGCTCTTTGCTACTTGGGCCTGTCCATCGGGCAGCTCACAGCCGGCTCCCCTACTTTGAGCGTGAGTGTCTAGGCCTTTTGTTACATAATCTCAGAGTGACATTCTGTGCCTCTGCTACCTCCTGTTTGCTAGAAGAGTCACTAAATCCAGTTCACACCCCAGGGGGTAGGTGTGATGCCAGTATCATAGATCTTTGGGGGTCACTTTATCACCTGCCTACCAGATAGCTCCTATCATTTACTCTTTTTTTAAAAAAAGTGATATATTATTGGTTTACATTGTTATTTGTGTGTAGATGTAGAGAATCTCTCCCTTCAGGTGTTATTACTATACCACATCCACCACCAAAGCACCCATAATCTATAAACAGCCATAGATAAAAAGATTAATAATGGTGTTTTCAACTATTCTTTACCCCAGCTTCATAAATCACTTAAGTTATGAATCTGAATCAAAACCCTGATGATTAATAATGTTCTCCTATCCCTATCGAACCTTTTAATTTTCTTAGTTATATTGACATTGCAATAAATAAGAACCACTCAGTAAGTATAAATTGAATGTGCAGGTTTGATGGCAGTTATGTAGATAGGTGCAATGTCAAGTCACATTTTAAATAGTTCTCATTTTCCACTGACAGACAGAAAATGGCAGCTTGGTGATGTCCTTAAATGCTTTTCTTTGGCAGTTCCAAGGAATCTACTAAAGTGCCATTGTCTGTCACAAGTTGCTTACCTGTCTTCATGTTCTGATTTACCCTTGCGTGGTGCCAGCAGGTATCCATGCCAAGCATAGCTTCTCTGGGAATAACTTTTCACCAAACCCAGCTCTCTCACTGCTTAGATATGTTTGTTGATGGCTGGAGAGGAGGAAAAGATGAAATGGTATGAAGGGCTGCTAAAGGGGTGGTAGTGAGGGGATTGGGGGGTGCTCAGGGAGAGGAAATGAGAGAGGGAAAAATGAAGCAGAGAATTAGTACTATTCAAAGCTGAGTTCTCAAATAATACAAAATTGATATTGGAGGGGAAAGGTTGAAGGAGTTTGAGATTGCTCATTATCAGTGATTGGCTTTATTTTGGACTTTAGGATGATGTTAATTGCAATTGCAGATTCCTAAGGGAACCCCATAATCAGATGTTCATGTGTCTTTTATTGAGCATTATGTAACAAGCAGAGTGCTGAGTGCTGAGGATAGATATAGATAATAACTACAAAGGCACTATCTTTGCTGTTGAGAAGCTTCTATAGGCACGACAGATGAGTAACAGAAAATGACTCATAGTGTGTATAGAGTTTGATGAGTGCTCAGCTGCCCGAGGAGGATCAGAGACTTGCCCACAGAGAGAGATTTTGCCTGTGAATACTTGAGTTGTCAATGAATAGGTACGTTCCAGGTGAGAAAGTGAGCTCCAGGCTGAGTGGTGGTAGAAATTGGTATGTTCCTTCCAAGTAAATCTATATGGGTGAGAGCAAGGTATTATGAGGTAGGGGGAAATAAATTGGAAAGGAAGGCAGGCAGAGCAGTATCAGGCAGGGGCATATAAACCATTTATGCTGCTGGTGATGGGAAGCTGCCCCAAAGGACTTAAATGAGCATGACATCATGGACAGCATTGCGTCTTAGAAAATGCATTGATTCTAGAATGGATTAGTGCAGAACAGATTAAAATGGGGTAAGACTGAAGGCAGGGGACCAGTTAATGGACTTTTGCAATAATCCAGGTAAGAGAAGGTGGTAAGGGATGGATTCCAGGGACATTTAACAAGCAAAATATATGAAACTTGGCAATCTACTGGATGATAAATAGGATGAGGAGAAAAGCATTAGGGACAACTCAGGAACTTACTAGACCATTAGGTCTCCATTGAGAGTGGTGTCACAATCGACCTTTTGTTTGATTCATTTTTGCTTAATTCATTTTGCTTAATTCAAGAAAACCAAGAGCAATTTGTCAATGACTAGGCATAATTTTAGAATTTTCAAGTAGTCTTTTCCTTTTTATTAGTCTAATCATATAGGTTTAGTTAAATCATCATATAGTTAAACCATCATTTAACTACTTAGAGGGAAATTAATTTCTGTAATTTCTATTTTTTAAGGTAATAGACTTAATTGTAAGACTAGTTTTAGTTTTACATAAAAATAATCCAAGTACAGAGAATTTACCTGTTCTTCTCTCACACATTCCCTCTCATCTGCATCTCTTATTTTGGCTCATTTGTTACAATTAATGACCCAGTATGAATATATTGTTATTCATTCAAGTCCATAGTTTACACTAGGGTTCTTTTTTGGTTTGTATTTTCTATGAGTTTTGAGAAGTATATAAAGACGTGGTCACCATGACACCATTTCATTAATGTATCATACACTAACCCTAAACATATCACTACCCTGAACATCTCCTGTGCTCTAACTATGTGTCTTTCCCTCCCTACCCCCATACCACCAGAAATCACTGATCTTTTCTCCATAGGTTCCAGAGTTGGAACTATACAGTCTGTAGCCTTTCAGATTGGTTTCTTCACTTAGCAGCATGCCTTTTAGAGTCTCCTGTGTCTTGTAGGGGCTTGGTAGCTAAGTTCCTTATCAATGATTAATTCCATTGGCTGGATGGCCCCCAGCCTGTGTACGCAGTCACCTGCAGAATGACATTGTGGTTGCTTCCAATTTGGGCAACTATGAGGAAAGCTGCTATAAATAAACCACCACATGCAGGTTTTTGTGTAGATACAGGTTTTCAGCTCATTTGAATAAATACAAGGAACATGATTGCTGGATGGCATGGCAAGAGTGCATTTAGTTTGGGAAGAAACCGCCAAACTGTCTTCCAGAATGACTATACCATTTTATATTCCTGCCAGCAATGAGAGCGCCTGTTGCTTTTTATCCTCACCAGCATTTGGTGTTGGATTTTGACTGTTCTAATCAGTGTGCAGTGATACCTCATTGTTACCTGAATTTGCACTTTCTTAATGACGTAGGATGTTGAGCATCTTTTCATGTGTTTGTCACCTGTGTATCTACTTTGGTGAGTCTGTTCATAGCTTTTCTTGTTTTAAAACTATATATTTTTCTTATTGAGTTTTAGAGTTCTTTCTATATTTTGAATGTGAGCTCTTTATCAGATACTGTTTTTGCAAAGATTGTGACTTGTTTTTTCCATTCTCTTAACTTTGTAAAGAGAAATCTGAAGTCTCATTTACATTTTTTTTCTTTCATGTATCTTGCTTTTGGTGTTGTGTCTAAAAGGTCATTGCCAAACCCAAGGATTTTCTTCTATGTTAAGTTCTAGAAGGTTGTTCTACATTTTACATTTAAGCTGTGATCCATTTTTTGTATGTGGATGTCCCTTTGTCCTAGCACCACTTGTTGAAAAGACTGTCCTTTCTAAATTGAATTCCCTTTCCTTTTTTTTTTTTTTTTAACACGTGAAAAAGGTCTATCTTTCTGACTTCCATGACTGGCTAAATGGGAATGAGACTGGGAATATAGGTTTGGCAGGGGAAGGCAGTGAATTCAATTTTAGATCTGTTGAGTTGGCAGTATCTGTGGATATTTAGGTGTTATCCAAGAAGGAAAATCCTTTCATAGATTTTAGGATGCTAACAAAGAGAAAGATTGTTTAGTTCACTGCTGTATGTGTATTTAAGTCTCATGTCTAGGCTAGATGCAAAATCAGTGTTAACACTCTTCAGGGCTCTATCTGCTGTAGAGGGAGGGCACTCTGGAGCCCTGCAGAGCCTCTCTCGGGGTTTGCTGATGCCCTTGACATTCAGGTCTAACCCTAGCTTGTTCAACTGTGCTGCAATCCAACATCATTCCTGGCCTTTCCCTATCAGCATTACATATCAAATGCTGTTTGTTTGGGGTTTAGGAGGTAATGACCTTATAACAGTTTTTAGGTAGGGAAAGTAATTTTCTCATTTAAACTCTTACAGTCTGGAAAACAAGGTCAAGGAGACAATGCACGATGCCTTTTGGGACCATCTTAAAGAGCAGTTATCAGCTACTCCCCCTGACTTCAGTTGTGCTCTTGAACTTCTGAAAGAGATTAAAGAGGTGAGTGACTGACTTTCCATTGTAGGTGTAAAGTTCCTAGATACACTCAGCTCTTTGGAGTGTCAATGCCAGCAAGTCCTAACTGATCATGGCCCACGAATCAGAGTCTAATCAGTAGACAGATAGCACACAGTAATTTCAACAAGGAAGTGTTAATATAAAAATCACTATGACAAAATTAGTATGACAGGGAATTGAAGAAATGGGGTTGGCTAATAAGCAAGAATAATAAATACTGGAATAACAGATACATGTGAATCTGCACTATTCTTATGGCTGAGACAGAACACCCAAGCACTCATTTCAGAGGGCGCACTGTTTCGGGGGAAAATGCTTGCCTGTGTGATGCTGACCCCATGTACTACTGGGGTTGAATGCTCAAGCTGCCGGTGCTGCAGAAGCCCAGCACTAGAGAAGCAGTTACTTGTTCTACAGGAGCCCCGCAGTGGAGAGGTTATTCAGGCTGCAGGATCTGCCTGTTTGTGAAACCAGGTGTGCTAGAAGAGCCTGCCAAGTAAGCATTCCAGAACCTCTTGCCTTTGCAGTGTCTGTACACTGCTGTGGACACACCCCCTGCTGGCCCCCAGTGATCCACACCCACGTGTAATCCTCTCCCCTGGAGTGTGAGGGAGATCTGTAACTTAACTCCTAACATTGACTATGGCAAAGGTGATGGGGTATGAGACTCCATCATAGCGGATTGGAGAGATTCCTGCTGCCTGGAAGAAACAGACAGCTATGTTGTGAACTGCCTATAGACAGAGCCTCATGCAAAGATATGCAGGTGCCCTCTAGGACTTGAGGGAAGCACCCAACGAGTAGCCAGTAAGGAACTGAAGCTCTCAAGTACATAGGTTTCTCAAAATATTAAAAATAAATCTACCATGTGATCCACCAATTCCACTCCTAGGCATCTACGTGAAGAATGCAAAAATACTAATTAGGAGGGATTTACGCCCTCCTATTGTTGTAGAAATAAAGTCTGGCCTTTTACTCAGGCAGAGGAAGAACAAGTGGTACTTCAGGTATGGTGAGGTCAGGAGAAGCTTTATGACTCATGCATGAGGTCCCAGACCTGGGTAGCCCGGTAAGGTCTGAGCACCCATTTAAAGACCAAGGGTTCCTTTTATACACAGCTGTGTCCATATCTGTTACATTGAAAGCGTCTTTTTTCAGCAGGAACAACCATTTGCGGCAAAGTCCCCAGACAAGGGGGGCAAGGCAAGGGGGGAAAGATGCAGGTATTCGGGGATGGCCTTGGAGAGAGAGACCAGCTGGTTGGCTGCCCGACCTTGTAGAGAAGAGTGCTGAGGGCCTGGCTATGAATCTTGAAATGGAAGGAGCTATAAGTAAGCAAACTTGTTGATTATGCCTGCACTGGAGTGTTCATTGCACCTGGGCTGGAAGTTCTGCTGGGATCTTTATTATATTCATTTGCTCAATAATATATTTTTGCTTCACTATGTTTACTACAGCACTGTTTATAATAGCTAAGTTTTAGAAACACCCTAAATGTCCAAGGACAGAGGAGTGGATTAAGGTCTTGTATAGATACACAGTGGAATGCTACTCAGCAATAAAAAATATCAACCATTTGTGACTGTATGAATGGAACTGGAGGGTAACATCAGTGAGAAGGAGAAAGACAAATATCACAGTTTCAGTGATATGTGGAATATAAAGAAACTAAATGAAAGCTCAACCAAAACCAATCCAATAACAAACAGTAGCAGTCTGTCTGTAGAATTAAGGTTACCAGGGGAAGAGGGAGTAAGTGGAGTAAAGTGTGGATGGGGTCCCGTGGACTATGGTTGAGGATTATGGGTGCCTCAGTGGTGGGTGTGGTTTGGTGACGGGCATCTGAGGAGGTGTAATGGTACGTCTCTGGATCACATATAGTGTTGTAAACCAATGTTATCTCAATTTGTGAAAGTTTATGGTAATTTGTTATACGGCACAGAAAAGTAGTTAATAGTGCCCTCTGTAGGTGAAGCTTAACATTGTGTCATCTGCTAAAGGAAAAATATTTTATTTTTTAATTATGTATCTGTGTATTACATAGTTGTTCATTCGTTTTTAAAGATTTATTTATTTTTATACAAGAACTGGGGTACAGGCCAGAGGCGCGGGAGAGTGAGAGGAGTCACCAGAGACAGAGTGGGGAGCAGAACAGACAGATCTACTGAAATACACTGCTGAGGGGAGCAGCGGGTGAGGCAGGAGAGGTCTGCTACACTGTGTGGGAATCTCCCTAGCCTGCCGGGAATCAAACCCGTGCTTGCTGAGGCTGCGGACGGCTTTACAGTACTATACTCAACCCACTGCACCACCAGGGGAGGCCCTCATTGTTCATTTTTGTATAGTGTTTGAGTTCTCCTCTCAGGTTTAAGTCCATAGAATTCCCAGCACCAAGTCACCTGTGAACCATGACCATAGTCTCTTGTGTTCTTCCCTCCCCTGTTTTGATTCCTCTCCCTCCCCCTCTACTGCTGTAAGTCTCCGGTTTATAGTCTGCCTGCTAGTTTTGTCTTTTTTTTTCCCCTGGCCCCTTGTTTGGTTTCCCTGTGTTCCTCCTATACGTGAAACCATCCAATATTTTTCTCTTTCCTTCTGACTTATCTTACTGAGCATAATCCCTTCCAGCTCCATCTATGTTGTCACAAATGGCATGGATTTATCTTTTTTGATTGCTGAATAGTATTCCATTGTGTATACCACATCTTTTTGATCCAGTCATCTGTTTTTGGACATTTAGGTTGTTCTATATCTTATCTATTGTAAATAGTGCTGTAATAACCATAGGAGTGCAGGTTTCCTTTCAAATGAAGGTTTTTGTGTCCTTTGGGTAGGTACCTAGAAGTGGAATTGCTGGGTCATATGGTAGTTCCATTTTTAGTAGTTTGAAGGTCCTCCACACAGCTTTCCGTAGTGGTTGGACCAGTTTGCATTCCCACCAGCAGTGTAAAATGGTTCCTTTTTCTCCACATCTTCACCAGCATTTGTTGTTGCTAATTTTTTTAATATGGACCATGCTCACTGGTATGAGGTGGTATCTCATTATGGTTTGATTTTATTTCTCTAGTTATAAATTATGTTGAATGTTTTTTCATATACCTGTTGGCCATTTACGTTTTAAAGAACTTTCTCCATTTATTTAGAGCAGAGAAAAGGATGGACTTGAAACTGAGAGGCAAGAAATTGATAAATGTCACATTCCACTGCTTTGGCTACTCAGTCTCGATATGCAGTTTCTATACACATTTGAATCCTGAAAAAGAATTCTATTTTTTATCTAATAAGCTCTCTTTCTTATAGGTTCTTACTCTCTTCCCAAAATGAGGAGACTGCAATAACCATAGAAGTGCAGTTACTATATCCATTGCTCTTTTTATTATTTCTCAAATTCAGTCACAGTTCAACTGAATATACTGATACTTGAAGTCTACATTGCAAGTTAACTTCCAACAGCCCACATATAATGTAATGGGAAAAAGGAGAGAGAAAAAATTGGTTAACAAACACAAATGAGCCCATACCTATAACAAGCAAAGAGAAAATTTATAGTCTGCAGTTGGTCCCAAGGCTGTAGTTGATACCTGTGGCTTCCTTTACTATTCATTCTTTATTTTCTGTCCTCAGGATGAGCCTTCTGGTTGGAATTCATTACGTGGTGGAGGGATCCAAACCTTCATTGCCAAAGAGTCTGAGTCCTTGTTAGCCAGTGGTTTTCCATTAACTTTTATTATTGTACATGAAAGTATTAACAGGTACCTCAGAGAATCTTCTGGGCTCCACACACAGTCCATGGCCCCATTGTATAGCAGCAATCACTTTCCCCTTGGTGCCCCACCCACTAGATAGCTTCTTTTTTACCCTGTCAATGGACATTTATGTTTTTTTCACATTTTCACTATTGTGAGTAGTGCTGCTATGAACATTCATGAAACAAAGAGGAAAAAAAAATACCAGCATCCACGTACAATTTTTTTTTTTTAAATATCTAGCTCTCACTATTTTTTTTTTTTTAAAGATTTATTTATTTATTTATTTATACAAGCACTGGGTACAGTCAGAAGCGCGGGAGGGTGAGAGAATTCACCAGAGCCAGAGCGGGGAGCAGAGCAGGCAGAAGGACCGAAGGACACTGCTGAGGGGAGCAGCGGCGGCAGGAGAGGTCTGCGCGCCATGTGGGACCCTCCTCTGGTGGCCGGGGAGCAGCCGGGGATCGAACCGGCGCCGCAGAGGCTGCGGGCAGCTTCGCAACCCAGCGCTCAGCCGCTGCGCCACCAGGGAGGCCCCAAGTCCAAGTTTTTTATTTGAATATCTGTTTCCATACTTTTGGGTGTATAGTCAGGAGTGGAATTACTGAGCGCATATGGTAATTCTATATTCAATTTGTTAAGAAAACACTGAACTGTTTTCCACAGTGGTGACACCATTTTACTCTCCAAACAGCGATGTATGTAAAGATTTCAATTTCTCCATAGTTTCACCAACACTTATTTTCCTTTTTTAAAAAAATTATAGCTCTTTTGGTGGGTATGAAGCAGGATCACATTATAGTTTTGATTTGCATTTCCTGAAGGCTAGTGAGTTGCTTATATGCTTACTTTGGGAAATGTTTGTTCAAGTTCATTACCCTTTATTAGTGTGATCTTCCATATTATTTTCCACTTAGCCTGATAAGCTTAAGGTCCATTCATGATGCCACAAATGGCAAGATAGCATTTTTTGTGACTACGTAATAATTTAGTATGTATATACCAATGTATTTATTCATCCATTAATGTACACATAGGCTGTTTCTGTATCTTGGCTATTGTAAGTAAAAATGCTGCAGTGAACATGGGCGTCACATATCTTTTTGAGTTGGTGTTTTGTTTTCTTTGGATAAATGCCCAGAAGTGGAACTCCCAGATCATATGCTGGCTCTATTTTTAATTTTTTGAGGGACCGCCATACCATACCATTTCCACAGTGGTGAACTACTTTACATTCTCAACTCTGTATGATTCCTTTTCTCTGCATCCTTGCCACATTGTTATTTGTTATTTGATGATAGTCATTCTAACAGATGTGAGGTGTTCTCTTATTGTGGTTTTGATTTGTATCTCTCTGATGATTAATAGTATTGAGTATCTTTTCAATTACCCCTTGGACATTTATGTCACACATTTATGTCATATTCAGATTTTCTGTCCATTTATTTTTTTAAAAAATTTATTTATGCATACAGGAACTGGGGAAAACTGGTATATAGGCCAGAAGTGTGGGTTTGTGAGAGGATTCACCAGAGACAGAGTGGGGATCAGAACAGGCAGACTGAGTGAAATACACTGCTGAGGGGAGCAGCAGGTGAGTTAGGAGAGGTCTGCTGTGCCATGTGGGTGGCTCCCTGGCTAGGGATTGAACTCGTGCTGCAGTGGCTGCGGATTGCTTCATAGGTTGTATCTTAACCCCTTGTGCCACCAGGGAGGCCCTGCCCTTTTTTTTTTTTTTTTTCAGTTGGATTGTTTTGTGCTGTTGAGTTGAATACATTCTTTAAATATTTTGATTACTAATCCCTTATTAGAAATGTGATTTTTCTTCCATTCAGTAAGTTGCCTTTTTATTTTGTTCATGATTTCCTTTGCTCTGCAAAAGCTTTTTAGTTTGATGTAGGCACACTTGTTTATTTTTGCTTCTGTTGTCTTTGCTTTTGAATTAGATCCAAATATCAACGCCAAAACTGATGTCAAAGAACTTATTGCCTATGTTTTCTTCTAGGATTCTTGTGGTTTCAGGTTATTTAAAGTTTTCTTTTTTTTTTTAATAAAATTTTACTTACCATTTCTTTACAAAACAATATATGTTTAAGTGTTTAATTGATTTTAAGTTTTGTGTATGGTGTAAGAAAGTAGTCCAGTTTCATTCTTTTGCATGTGATTGTCTGTTCCCAACACCATTTATTGATGAGACTTTTCTTTCCTCATCTATATATTTTTGGCTCCTTTGTTCTAAATTAATTGACTATATATGTGAGGGTTTATTTCTGGGCTCTTTGTTCTGTTCCATTGACCTATGTGTCTGGTTTTTTTACCAGTACTATGATGTTTTGATTATTATAGCTTCGTGATATAGCTTGAAATAAGGGGGTATGATGTGCCTAGCTGCTCTTTCTCAAGCTTGCTTTGGCTATTTAGTGTCTTTTGTGATTTCATACAAAGTTTGTTTGTTCTATTTCTGTGAAAAATGCCATTGGGATTTTGATAAAGATTACAGTGAATCTGTAGATTGCTTTGGGTAGTATGAACACTTAAACAATATTAATTCATAAAATCCATGCACACAGAGTATCTTTCCATTTATTTGTGTCCTCTTCAATATTTTTCACTGCCTTACTTTTCAGTGTACAAGCCTTTCACCTCCTTGGTTTAAGTATTTTATTCTTTTTGATGCAGTTGTGAGTGGGATCATTTTCCTAACTTCTCTTTCTAATAATTCATTATCAATGTATAGAAATGTTAATAATTTTTGTATATTGATTTCATATATTACAGCTTTACAGAACTCATTTATAATTACAAAGTTTTTTAATGGAATCTAGGATTTTCTATAGGTAAGATATCACAGCATTCAGAGACAATTTTACATCTTCTTTTCCAATTTGGATGCCATTTATTTATTTATTTATTTATTTATTTATTTTTGCTTAACTCTGGCTAGGACTTATAATACCATGTTGAATAAAAGTCATGAAAGTGGGTATCCTTGTCCTAAGATGTTCCTTTTGAGTATGACATTAGCAATGGACTTGCCATATGGCCTTTCCTATGTCAAGGTACATTTCCTTTATACCCACTTTGTTGAGTGGTTTTTTTTTTTAAAGATTTATTTGTTTTTTTATTTATGCATACAAGAGCTGGGGTGCAGGCCAGAGGGGTGGGAGGGGGAGGGGGTGAGAGGATTCACCGGAGATAGAGTGGGGAAAAGAACAGGCAGATTGAGTGAAATACGCTGCTGAGGGGAGCAGTGGGCAAGACAGGAGAGGTCTGCTGCATTATGTGTGTTGTTCCCTGTCTGGGGATTGAACTCATGCTGCAGTGGCTGCTGATAGCTTCATAGTGCTGGGACTTAACCCATTGTGCCACCAGGGAGCCCCTGTTGAGAGTTTTTTTTTTTAATTATAAATAGATGTTGAATTTTGTTAAATACTTTTTATGTGGGATCCATTAATATATTGTTGATTTAGGTTTGCTAATAATTTGTTGAGGATTTTGGTAATCTACATTCATCAGGATATTGGCATGCAATCTGCATTTCTTGTAGTATATTTGTCAGGTTTTGAACTAGGGTAATGTTGTCCCTAATGAAATTAATTTAGAAGAGTTTCCTCCTCTTTTTTTTAAGAGTTTGAGAAGGATTGATATTAATTCTTCTTTGAAGGTTTGGTAGAATTTGCCAGTGAAACTCACTGGTCCTGGACTTTATTTTGTTGGGAGATAGTTTTATTACTGATTTAATCTTCTGACTAGGAGTAGGTGTTCAGATTTTCTAATTCTTTATGATTCTTGGTAGGTTGTGGGTTTCTAGGAATTTATCAAATTCTTCCAGATTATCCAGTTTGTTGGTGTATATTTATGTGGTGTCAATTGTGAAGTCTCCTTTTATAGTTCTGATTTTGTTAGTCCTCTATTTTTTTCTAGCTAAAGTTTTGTCAGTTTATCATTTCAAAGAAAGTGGTTCTTTATTTCATTAAACTTTTCTATTGTCTTTTTAGTCTCTTTCATTTATTTCTGTTGATTTTAATTTTTTTCTCCTTTTTACTTTAGGCTTCATTTGTTTTTCTTTTTCTGGTTCCTTGAGGTATAAAGTTAAGTTGTTTGAGACTTTTCTTATTTCATTTATTACCACTGTAAACGTCCCTCTTAAAACTGCTTTCACTGTACACCATAAATTTTGATGTGTTATATTTTCATGTTTGCCTCAGGTATTTTTTTATTTCTCTTTGGATATCTTCTTTGATCCTTTGGTTGCTTAGTAGCATGTTGTTTAATCTCTGCAGATTTGTGAACTTTCTAGTTTTGTTTTTTTTTTCCTGTAACTGATTTTTGGTTTCATACCATTGTGGTGGAAAAGGTATTGGATGTGATGTCAGTCCTCTTAAATTTGTCATGACTTGTTGTGTGATCTAGCATATGATCTCTTCTGGAAACATTTCTTGTATACTTGGGAAGAATGTGTATTTTGTTGTATTTAGATGGAATGTTCTATATACCTCTATTAAATCTCTCTGGTCTGTGATGCCATTTAAGGTCAGTGTTAACTTATTGATTTTCTGGGTTTTTTTTTTTGTATTTATATATTTATTTTATTTTATATATTTTTTACATCATTTTTCATTTTTGCACAATGTATGTATTTTCATCTTGGTTATATTCCCCATACAATTCCCACCCCCCCTTTTTTTTTAAATGAAGAACATCTCATTGCCATTTGATGGTGTGAATTTGCTTGTTGTACCTTACATTTATTTTTATCATTCTGATTTTAGTCCTCTCTTAACTCCTTCTATAGGAGTTAATTGATCCTGTAAGGCTTTGAACTATCATCGGCCCTAAACAAAGATAAAAAACATTTAGAATTCTTGATTTTAAAGACACGGCTGGGATGTGTTTGTTTAAAGGCATCTTTAACTAATGTCTGTTAGAGAAAGTTTGGGGCACTAAACAGATGCAACTCATGTGACTTTATTTCCTGGGTAGATCTTAGTATCACTGCTGTTACCACGCCAGAACCGCCTAAGAAGTGATATTGAAGAAGCACTGGATGTGGACCTCCTTAAGCAGGAAGCAGAAAATGGAACCCTGAATGTCACTCATATCTCTAAGTATATTCTCAACATGATGACTTTACTGTGTGCACCAGTTCGAGATGAAGCAGTACAGAAACTAGAGAACATTACAGACTCTGTTCGGTTACTGCGGTATGAAACTTGTTTACTCTCTCCTGAAACCTGCCTCAGCCTCTGGGCCAAGAAAAGCTGGGCCAGACACTGACTTGGCTGGTTCTTTCCTACTAAAGTCCCCACAAACACCTCTTTTCTCCTCTTTGGTTTTATTAACTTTTCTCACCAAAGATGACCTTACAGGCCTCTTTGGTTATCCCTAGATTAATTGGGCCCTCTGTATTACATCCTACGTTAAAACACTAAAATGTATTATCCTTTCTTCCAAGCAGTTCAAACATCCTTTCCCTAGATTTTTGCATCACAGTTCACACAGTATGATGGGACTGGGAGATTACCCCTATTTCATCGCTATGGAAACGAAGACCCAGAAAGTTTTAATAGCATCACCTATAATCTCACATCGCAGAGATAACTGTAGCATGTTGGTGTGTTTCCTTATTCTGAATACCTTTTTTAAGAGAGAACAGAATGACCAGTGTGTAAAGAGATCTAGGTCAGAGGCTTTAAGATCCAGAAACTTCTCTTCCTTAGCTCTGCTCTGTACTCACATACTTGGGGCCTTCAGGCCTGAGCCATATGTCATCTTTTGTAAATTTAGTAGCAGAACTAAATTTGTTTTAAAGCCACTCCTAACTTTAGGATACAGTGATTTAGTGGTTCCTGTGTAGGTTTCTCTCTCACTAGATTTCCTTTCCTCCTCCATCAGAGGGATCTTCCAAGTTCTGGGCCAGATGAAAATGGACATGGTGAATTACACTATTCAAAGCCTTCAACCCCAACTGCAGGAACATTCCATCCAGCATGAACGGGCTAAATTCCAGGAACGCCTCAACAAGCAGCCTAGTATGTATATAACCTGAGGGGCAGGAGTGGAAAGGTGTGACCTTCAGCCTGAATTTTTATGATGTGAGAGAGTACTCTGCCTTTTTTTAGAATAGAAATTTTCTTCCTCAGGTCGGAGGTGAGAGAAGGAATAGTTATCTAAGACAGAAAGAATCTTTCTTCCCCTGAAAGCATTTATTTAATGACCAGGAACATATCTTGAAAAGAATGTTAGTCTTGAAGCTCAGAGAGACAGATTGAAAATGCTTATCCCCTCTGTTCTGTCACAGGCCTCCTTGATTACACCACCAAATGGCTGACCCAAGCAGCAGCAGACCTCACTACGCTGCCTCCGACTTGCCCCGATGCTCCCGATTCCTCCAGTGTTACCTGCCCTTCTCCAACTGAGACAGTTAATAGCCCAGAGCCCCTCAGCCCTATGATGGTGCTTTCCCAAGGCTTCTTGAACCTCCTTCTCTGGGACCCTGGAAATGAAGAATTCCCTGAGGTAGGAGAGTGTGGGGCATCCCCTTACTTTGTAGTCAGGACTTCCTTCAGGGCCCGCCTCTCCTGACAGCCTGCTCTTCCTTCTTTCCCAGACTCTGTTGATGGACAGAACTCGGCTGCAGGAGCTAAAGTCCCAGTCACAGCAGTTAACCATCCTGGCCTCGGTCTTGCTAGTGTCCAGTAGTTTCTCTGGCAATGTTCTGTTTGGCTCACCTCAGTTTCTGGATAAACTGAAACGTATAACCAAAGGCCTGACAGAGGAGTTTAACTCCAGGTGAGCTGCATATGTTTTCTGTTTTGTTTTGTTTTGTTTTAAAGGATATTATGTAGTGTGAGGACACAGGCAGGTAATGAAGATAGCTTGCTTTCCACCAGAAACCATGTTAAGGCCACTGGGAACCGTCCACAAAGATTGTTCCTGTCTTCCCACAGTGGTCTTGAGGCTCATGGCTAAGAAAAATAAAACTTCATAAAAGAAGGGTAGTGTGGATCATTTCCTACAAAATGATTTATTGTCTTCTTTGCTTCAAAAAGGGGTCATTATCTAGTTAAGTTAGTGACAGTGAACTGGTCTTTGTGTAGCCACGTGATGATCAATTAGGCGGTGCGTAGTCACTGTGTCCCGGCAGCCCATCTCCACGAGGGTGTGCGTGATGAGGCTTCTCCACACCAACAAACAATTCTCAGACACCAGCAGGAGTTCAACTCAGTTCTGACACTGTCTATGCAGAGAGTCTGTCAGGTCCCATAGGTTAAGGGCTCATTTGCTCCACTTCAGATGCTGCCCATAAAACCCCAGGTAAATCTGCGTCTGACAGCGAACTACTTCAGAGGCCCCCACAACCCCCTCCTCAGACCTCAGGTGCCCATCACAAGCCTAAAGCATTATCTGTGCTCTGGCCAACTACTGAAACCAGAGGTTCCCAAGATATCCTTCCTCACATTCAGTTAATTTGCTGGAATGGCACGTGGAACTCAGGGAACCACTTACTCACTAGATCACTGATTTAGACAAAGGAATAACTCAGAAACAGCTAGATGGAGGAGATGCATAGGGGAAATGGTGAATGACCTCTCCAGAGTGCCATTGTCCTCCAAGTTCTTTTTTTTCCTTTTAAAGATTTATTTATTTATGCATATAAAAGCTGGGGTATAGGCGAGAGGTATGGGAGGGGTTGAAAGGATTCACTAGAGACAGAGTGGGGAGCAGAACAGGCAGATCTCCTGAAATACACTGCTGAGGAGAACAGCGGGCGAGACAGGAGAGGTCTGCTGTGCCATGTGGGTAGCTCCCTGGTCGGGGAGCGAACACGTGCTGCATAGGCTGCAGACGGCTTCACAGTGTTGTGCTTAACCCCTTGCCCTGTCCTTCAAATTCTTGACGTATTCACCAGCTGGAAGCTCTCTGAACCCCCTTTTCTTGGGCTTTTCTGGAGACTTCACTAGACACAACTGACTAAATTATTAGTTGATTTGGCAATTGAACATAGCCTTCAGCTCTCACCTGCCCCAACATCAGGGATGGTGGCACTGGCAGTCCCAACCCTCTGTTCTTGGTTTCCCTGGTAATCAGCCCCAAAAGTCACCTCATTAATTTAGCAAAAGACAATTTTAATACTCTCAAATACTTAGGAAATCCCAAAGCCTTGGGGTGGGGGTGGGTGGGGCACTGTGGATCAGGAGCTATGCATGAAGAACAAATAATGTATGAGAAAAAATATATATCTTATATATTTTGGTCATTCAGGGTTTTCTCGGAAATCATAATATCACAGTCAGTAATACTGATTCAACACCCCACTGTGTGCAGGGTGTCACGCAGAAGGAAAGAATCAGAAGGCCAGAGTTGCTAGTATAATTGGTGAGAACAGGACAGATGATCATGGAGAATGTCTAAGAAAGTCTTAAAAATGCATAATAGATATATCTACCTGTATAGATACATATAAAGCCTATGAAGTAAAAGGATACTCAGTGGATGCAAGGGCAGAGCTAAGCTCTTATCCAGAGTTGATTTTATAGTTTGTCCTATAGTTGTTTCTATTCTAAGAAATTGGTCACAGTATCAGAGAGGATAGTTGCTCTCTAGAGGATAACAGTGGAGACATTGAACAGTGAAGATGCTGGGCTCTGTGGCTACCAGGCGCTGGGATGGGGCCAGGAGGATGATTGGGACCCTCCCTTTAGTAGGTCATGTGCACTGAGCCTGTGCCAGCCACCCAGTAGCTAACAGCACACTCTCCTTCACGGTTTAGGCCTGAGGAGGCTATGCAGACTGTGAGTGAACAGGTGTCTCAGGAAATCCAGCAAAGCCTCAAGAACATGGGCCTGACTGCTCTGAGCAGTGACAACACGGCATCTCTGATAGGACAGCTCCAGAACATTGCCAAGAAAGAGAACTGTGTCCGCAGTGTCATAGGTGAGCATGCCCGTGGGGTGGTGAGAACACGTTGGTGGGGGTGGCTGTAGCTCCAAGCCTGGAAGTTCCTGGCTGAGCAATCTAGCAATAAAAGGCTTGATAGTTGGGCAAGTCACTAGGCTTTAGGTTTTTTTTTAAAAACTGTGTTGAAAAATAATAACCTTTTCAGTTTAAAGACTATGATTCTAAAGATTTGCATTTACAAACTCATGACTTCTCATGTGGTGTACTGTCCAACCAACCTGGTTAAGTCATCCCTGGCCTCCTGGGTCAGGATCCAAGGTGGGTAACGTCCACTCCTGCCAACAAGAAGCTGATGCTGAATGGGCTAGAGGACATGACTCCGGAGCAGGGACTCCCCAACTTATTTGGAGTGCAGGCGATGTAATTGCCCCTGATACTCTCCGAGTGATCAGTCTGAGAGCCTTCTGTTAGGTCAAATACTCATTAGCATCTGACTGGTGGATAGGATCTACTTAAATCATCTTTGAACAGTCAGAAATGTACCAGGCCACTAGTTTTTGACTTTTGCTTTGTCCTTGGGAGCTAGAAAGCAGTCCCCTTCCCAGATGAAACAAACTTCCCGATCTCTAGGTGAGTGGATAGGTCGGTGTCTCAGTTAACTTAGAACTCGAGTGGGTAGAACGCGAGGGCATTTTTCTCCCTGGAAGTGGTGTCCCCTTTTCTTTCTCATTGTCTTTTCCCATTCACAGATCAGCGGATCCGCCTGTTTCTCAAATGCTGTTTGGTTCTTGGTGTGCAACGATCTCTACTGGACCTCCCTGGAGGCCTGACTGTTATTGAGGCTGAACTCGCAGAACTGGGTCAAAAGTTTGTCAACCTCACGCATCACAATCAGCAGGTGTTTGGCCCCTACTACACTGAGATAATTAAAAAACTCATCGTCCCAGCTCAGGTCCTAGAAACAAAAGTGGTGTCTCTGTGATAACACCAGCTCTGGGCCCTGGCATCTTCAACCCAGGAGAAAAACCCGTCTTCCTGGGATGACATCACCAGCGACCAGCCAAGGCGTGAACCCTCCTCCCCGCCTGCAGACCATAGCTGTAGTTACCAAGCATCTAAGTACCAGGTGGCCCAAACTCATTCACTAATAAACTTCACAAATGCAAGCATATCTCCACTCTTCCTGTTCTACAGCTGAGGCCAGTACTCATGCTTTTGGCCCCCAAGTACCTAAGAAGCCAGCAACCCCCAGTTTTTCCTTCACTGCCTAGGCGCTCCCCTCTGTATGCAAAGCCAAGAAGCCAAGATACCAGGTGCTCGCGTCATTTTCTCTAAGGGTAAATCATTTTCTCAGGTCTCAGAGAACTCTGGAGTCACCCAAAATATGAATGTAAATAAGGACTTCCCTGGAAGTTAGATGCATGTTTTGTCCAATTCAGCTCAGGATTAAATGTGGTTGAAAGAAAGGTCATTCCCATTAGCAACCTCGTTTCCAACCAAATACAAAGGTTTCAAATGATGCAAAAATAAGTTAAATAGTAAAAGTCTCAGCTGCTGCTTCTTCTGTTGCAGGGTCAAAAGTATTGTGCAAACCAGGGCATGAAAATTGATATTGCCTGCTGCCGAGAATTTTATTGAGAACAGGTTGCAGAGTTCATGGAATTTCTTTCTCTCAAGTTATCCAGAGTTCAGACTTGGACAGGCCAGTGACTGACTGACCAAGTTTCTCCTTGGTCCTGTTGTGTAGCTGAGTGAGTCTCCTCTCTTCTCATCTTTAAGCTTGGAAAACCCTTTCTTTCTGATAGGTGTAGGCACTCAGATGTGGAGCAGCCTTTTGCCTTCTCACTTTCAGGCTGAGACTCTTCTTTTTTTTAAGATTTATTTATTTATGCATACAAGAACTGGGGTACAGGCCAGAGATGTGGGGGGTGAGAGGATTCATCAGAGACAGAGTAGGAAACAGAACAGGCGGATCACCTGAAATACAATGCTGAAGGGAGCCGCGGGCAAGACAGGAGAGGTCTGCTGTGCCATGTGGGTAGCTCCCCGGCCGGAGATCAAACTTGTTCTGCAGTGGCTGTGGTGTACTGTCCAACCAACCTGGTTAAGTCATCCCTGGCCTCCTGGGTCAGAATCCACGGCGTGTAACGTCCACTCCTGCCAACAAGAAGCTGATGCTGAAAGGGCTGGAGGACATGACTCCAGAGCAGGGACACCCCAACTTATTTGAAGTGGAGGCGATGGCTTCATGGTGCTGCGTCTTAACCCCTTTGGCGCCAGTGAAGCCCTGGGGCTCAGACTCTTAACTAGTGCTCTGGTTGTGAGCGTATGTCGGCATCACAAGTGGTATTCTAGGAAGAACCTGGGCCTGGTTGTGAGGCTGTAGAGATCCAGCCCACTACTCTCGGGCTGACTGTAGCAAGCCAGCCCCAACTTAGTATGATGGAAAATGTTCTCAGATTTGACCCTTTTTGGCAAAATATGAGAGAAAATGGAGTCACTCGTGCTCTCAAGGCTGAGTGAAGAGAAACAGCGTTCTCACCATTTCAGGAGATGGAAGCCAAGCGTAACACATTCAATCTAGGGAAAACAACAGGAAGGGAAGTTAGCCAGGGTATCCTTTCATTATCTTCCTTTTTAGCAGGTAGTGCCTGGATGGCTGACAGAGCCAAGTCAACAGTGACACTTCCAAGAAAGCTGGGGAGCCTGGATCCTTGTAGCTAGGCAACCTCAGGATGGGGAAACCCCCAAAAGGAGGTATGCTTAATAAACAGACTTGCTTAGATGTGTTCTCTGATTTGCAACTGTGAATTTGAATTTAAAAAAAAAAAACAAAAACACATTTTGGAAGTCTCATTATTTTAGAGGCAAAAGTGTGCTGAAGGGTCTCCTGTGGAGAGGAATGCCTGGTTGGTGGATGCAGACATTGGGCTGATAATAGAATCTTGCTCTGCACTTCATAGTTCAAATCTGGAATGATCCATTTCCTAGAAGATTTGAGTTGATTTTTCTTGTGCTTCCTCATGAGGTGAGCAGGGATCCTGATCTGAAAAGGAAAAAGCTGCATTCAATCCTGCCCACAGTTAGAAGGAAGTATATTTTAACCTGTGGTAGGAGACACATAAAATTCACCATCGGTGACATTTAGGACATTTTCATTGGTGTGCAGCTGTCACATCACCGAGTTCTAGAACACTTTTTGTCACCACAAAAGGAAACCCCACACCCACTAAGCAGTCATTTCCCACTCCCGTCCCTGTACCCCTCGCAACTGATAATCTGCTTTCTGTCTCGATTGGAGAAACGGCTGTTTTAGTCTTTTGCCCAATTTTGAAGTAGACTGTTGCTGAGTTGTAAAAGTTCTTTATATATTCTTGATACTAGAGCCTTGTCAGATATTTGATTTGCAAATATTTTCTCCCACTCTGTGTATACTTTTTTCCCCCTCACTTTTTTGATAGTGTCCTTTGATGCACAGAAGTTTTAATTTTCATGAAATCCAATTCATCAGGTTTTCTTTTTTTTTTTTTTTTTTAAGATTTTTTTTATTTATTTAGACAAGCACTGGGTACAGTCAGAAGTGTGAGAGGGTGAGAGAATTCACCAGAGTCAGAGCGGGGAGCAGAACAGGCAGACAGACGAAGTACACTGCTGAGGGGAGCAGCAGGCGGCAGGAGAGGTCTGTGCACCATGTGGGACCCTCGCCCGGCAGCCGGGGATTGAACCGGTGCTGCAGAGGCTGCGGGCAGCTTCGCAACCCAGCGCTCAACCGCTGTGCTACCGGGGAGGTCCCATCAGGTTTTCTTTTTATGGATTATGTTTTAGGTGTCAAGTCTAAGAACTCTGCCTACTCCTAGATCTCCAAGACTTTCTCTGATATTTTTTGCTAAAATGTTTACAGTTTCATACTTAGGTCAAGTTACTTTTTGTAAAAGGTGTGAGACTTAGGCTGAAGTGTGTTTTAAATGACTCTGGATGTTCATTTGCTCCAGCATCATTTGGTGAAAAGGCTTTTTCCTCCACTGAGTTGCATTTGCACCTAATAAGATGGACATATTTGTATGGTCTCTTTCTAGGTTCTCAATTCTGTTGCCTTGATCTGTGTACTTGTTCCTTTTCTCTACCACACAGAATTGATTACTGTAACTATAAATAGGTCTTGAAATAAGAGTGATTCCAAGTCTTGAAATAAGACTGATCCCTCCTACTCTATTCTTTCAACATTGTTTGAGATAATCTAGTTCCTTTGCTTTTCCATAGATTAATCTTGTATACTAATGTAGCTACAAAAACCTGGCAGGGATTTTGATAGGTATTATGTTAAAGCTATCAGTGTGGGGAGAATGAACATTTTATTATGCTGCATATTCCAATCCATGAGCATGGTATATTTCTCTAGTTATTTAGATCTTTCTTGAGTTCTTTTATCAACATTGTGTAGTTTTCATCATACAAGTCCTAAACATGTGTTGTTAGACTGATACCTAAGGATTTCAATTTTCTTGAATGGTTAAGTTGAACTGTGATTACATTTAAATATTTATTTCTAGTATACATAAATATGTTTATCTTATATTCTGCGGCTTTGCTGAATTCACTTAATTCTAATTTTTTTCATAGATTCCTTGGAATTTTCCCCATAGTCATGTAAGCTGCAAACAGGAACAGTTTTATTTCTTTCTGATAAGAATGTCTTTCATTTCCAATTCTTGCCTTATTGCACTGGTTAGGACTGTCAGTGCTTTAAGACTCATGATGGTGAAACCCTTCCTCATGACTTAGTATCTTTGATTTTTGTTCATATTACTCCATTCCAGTCTCTGTCTTCATGGTTACAGAAAGGTTGCAACATCCTCCTTTGTGTGTATCGACACTCTGTCTGCTCTCATCAGGATGCTTGTGATAGCGTTTAGAGCCTACCCCCTTGATTTTTAAATCCAGGGTAATCTTCCCATATCAAAAATCCTCAATCTCATGGGAAAAGATCCCTTTTCATTATAATTATTAATGGATTGAATTGTGTCCCCTTTCCCCAAGTCTGTTGAAGTCTTAATACCCAGAAAGTGGCATCATTTGAAAATAGGATCATTGTAGATGTAATGGACTAACATAACATTGGAGCTTGGTGGGTCCTTAATCCAGTCTGGTTGGTGTCCTTATGAAGACATGTGCTGTGTGAAGAAAGAAACTTATACAGAGATACAATAATGTGAAGACTCATGGAGAATGCCATCTGTGACTCAAGGCTACCAAAACATTGTTATGAAACAGATCTCCCTCACAGTCCTCAGACACCTTAACAATAGACTTCTAGCCTGCAAATGAAACAGACGTGTCTGTTTAAACCACCCAGTTTGTGGAGCTTTGTTATATGGCAGCCCCAGGAAATTAATACAATAACATGCTGGTTCCAGGAATTACGAACCAATATCTTTTTTTGGCTGTTACTCAGCCTGCTACAAAATCTGTTTCTTTGACTTTTCCAACTTGTAGAGACTGGGCATATTTCTTAGCTGTTAACTATTTTCTTCCATCTTTAAAACATATCGATACCACCTTTCTTCCATTGTGTCTCCTTTCTTACTTTGACCCTTCTACCTCTCTCTTCTAATAACCTTTCAGGCAACCCAGGATAATCTCTCCGTCTCAAGATCCTTGGTTTAATCACATTTGCAAAATATCTTTTGCCATGTAAATTAATACTTTATAGGTTCTGTTGATTTGGGTGGACTGTTTTTTGTTTTTGTTTTTTTAGATTTATTTATTTATTTATACAAGAACTGGGGTATAGGCCAGATGCGCAGGAGGGTGAGAGGATTCACCGGAGACAGAGCCAGGAACAGAACAGGCAGACTGATGAAATACACTGCTTTCCTGAAGGGAGCAGCAGGCGTGACAGGAGAGGTCTGCTGCACCGTGTGAGACCCTAACGAGCTGGGATCGAACTGGCGCTGCTGAGGCTGCAAACAGCTTCACAGTGATGCGCTCAACGGCCTGCGCCACCAGTGGGGGGCCCGATTTGGGTGGACTTTTACTTCCACTTTTCTCAAAGTTTTTTTTGTAGTATTTTTTTTTAAACCTATATATACTTTTTTTTTTTTTTAAATAGAGGCATGTTTTATTTATTTATTTGTTTTGTTTATACAAGCACTGGGTACAGTCAGAAGCGTGGAAGGGCAAGAGAATTCACCAGAGCCAGAGCGGGGAGTAGAGCAGGCAGAAGGACCGAAGTACACTGCTGAGGGGAGCAGTGGGCGGCAGGAGAGGTCCGCGTGCCATGTGGGACCCTCCTCTGGTGGCCGGGGAGCAGCCAGGGATCGAACCGGCGCCTCAGAGGCCGCGGGCAGCTTCGCAACCCAGTGCTCAACCGCTGCGCCACCGGGGAGGCCCTTTGTAGTATTTTTTAAAAAGATTTATTTATACAA